ATAAGGGCTTCAGTAAAATTGGGATCTGGTCAATGCTTATGAAGATTCAGAAAGAAATATTATTTTTACTGTTCATAATTGCTGAAGCTGCGACTTTAGGGAAAGCTGGAAAAATCTTTCAGTTTAAACCCAAAATTAAACAGAAATGCAGCTCACATACCCCTGATATTTGAATGGCAACTAATGCTTTCCAGTGGCACATCGCCTTGAGTTCTGCATGCACAGTGATTTTACATTTTAGATTATAGTTTGTTAAAGTTAAGATGTGTGTGTATAGATTCTATGTGCTAAGTTTTAATGCTGTAGAGTGCAGGATTTAAACTGGAGCTTGAAGGGTGAGCAGGTCATGAGATTCTGTGCTTAAATGTCTCGGTGTTTAGAGCAGGCAGGTTTGTATTTCTCTAACGTGGGCATTTCTTTCTGCAAAGTGTTTGCCACGTTGTTCTGTCCTGAAGGGTAGGATCTGGGGATAAATGAGCTGTTTTAGCCAGCAGCACATTGGTCATGACTTTTATGGCTCATCTGCTGGCTTACTCTGAGGCCACGCCATTATTTTCCTTCTTAAAGAGTGATTCTAAAAGGGTGCGTGGATACCTTAAACTCTTCCCTTTCATCATCTTCCCTATGAAGAGAACAACCACGTCCTTGCAAACTGTTTTATTTTCTCCAGTAATCATTTGTAGCAATACTTTAGTGCTTTTAAAATATGCTTTTAAGGTGTCAGTTTTGCTACAACACCGTTGGATTCACTTCTGCAGCTGTACTTACTGAACCCTTCAGCGATCAAAAAATGTTGGCTTCAGTATTAATTGTGTTGTTAGTACCCTGTATGCTTACTGAGATCTCAAGCATAACTTCAGTATATCACACAGTCAGACTTACTGTACTAATAAAAGATACATTGAAGTTATGGCCCATTTCAGATCCTTTAGTCACAAGAGACACTGCATTCAGAATGTGAAAATTAATATCCAGCCCTCATATCTTACTTATAACTGATATTGTTCAGGTATTAATCCTTAATCATTATTATTTGCTAATGGAAACACCATTAGAATTGGTTTGGTAGGACATGATATTCCCTTTTCCTACAGTAAAAGTATTACTACAATGTGTAAAATACCCTACAGGTTAAATGGCTAAATGGGCCATTGCTATTCAGCTGATCTGCTTGGTGAGTAGGATTACAGTATCTGATATGTTTGGTTTCCTTCTTCACTCACTGAAATATCAAAACACTCATTTTTAGCATTCGTTAAGTCTGACAGGAATGATAGCTGCTGAATGAAGGCAACATAATTAGCTGCTGCTTAATGCCTGAGAACTTAACCCTCCTTTAGAAAAGCAAGTTGAAAAGCATGTCCCACAGCATGTTTGTGTGTTTAAAAGAGGTAATAGAAATAATCTTTAGTGATTTCCCCCCCCCCCCCCATTTACTCCCTAAGTGCCTTTATGCTTTTGTGGTGCTTGTATTTGTTCCTATAATGAAAGAGCGATTGTAATTCAGCAGTATGAAATTAATGGATAGATTCTGCTCCTCGGAAATTACATGACCCACTCTTTGAAAACAAAACTGAGTAAATGTTTACCTTGAAACCAACTGGGGAATGCGATTCTTAAGCCTCCAGATTTTTGGCCAGAAAATCAAGGTTTCATCCAATGAGGCTCAAACCATAACAGTAGAAAGGTCACGGGCATCAAATCTGTGGGGGAAATTGAGGACATCAACTGTTCTGGGAAGGAATATATGCAGAATCACAAGGAGGAAAAGGAGATAAGTGCAGAAACAAAGAAGATTGAAGGTCAGACTGATCGTGCTTTCAATGTAAACAAAAAGATATTAGTGGCAGAGATTGGAACTTTCTGGAGACATAAGATTTAGAAGCCTTAATTGAAACATCAGTTCTTTACACTGAGAGCATGGAAATTCTTCTTGTAGATATCATAGTGTCATCAGGAAAGGAGAGATTTAGACATCAACAGCTGTAACTTTAAAGGAACCTTTTAACTTATTTTTTAAAGGCACATCAGGGTTAGCTTAGACTACAGGGTATTTTAATCAAAAAGAAGATATTCGGGCAGATGTTGAGCTTAGCAAACTGCCTGGCTTGGACCCTCTTGTCTTCCATAATGGGATCAGCTGCTGCTACTTTACCTTAATGCGGTGCACAACATGTGCCAGCTGTGATATACTTGGTGCAAGATGGTTTGGGGTTTTTGTTGGTGCTTGAGGTAACAATTTGTGTTTTGAAGCGATGTGTTCAACATCTTTTGATCAAAATGTATGCTTCGTTATATTCTGGGGGGACTTCAGCCATTTTAGCTCTAGTTACATCCTGTTCAGATTAATCCATCTACATCATTCCCTTGAATTCAATGCATTTACTCTAAAGGAACTCACATGAAGGTGTCCACTGTCTTTTCTTCTGAAAAGACAACAAACCCTTGTCACCACAGGGGTATAATGGATTGGAGGTTTCTTCATAAATATCAGCAGCTGTTTATTACAAACACAGCCATCTGTGGTAGGATCTGTCTTGCATATGTGTACAAGGCCACGATGGTTGGCTGTTAAATGGTCAGAAATGATCCACAGTAACTCCATAGGTTTTCCTTTTAATGGAGAATGATGGTGAGTGCTGCAGTGACCAGGGAATGCTAGACGTGCTCTAGAGCTGCCATGTCCTCATGTGGACACTGAGAACGAAAATTCAGTTCCAAGATACATTTCTTTGTAGTAGTTTTATTCTCAGGTTGAGAAAAACCCATTCCGTGGAAATTGCTTCATGTCTGAATGAGCTCTACCCTGTCCCTTTGTGAATAAAGGAAAATAAGACTTGATTACTTGTGAAGGCTCATCTCAAGTGAGATTTTGAATATAAATAAATAATCACTTTGGTTCGACGTTAAGGTTATTAGCCAATTATGAGTGTTTTGTGGTTGTCATGATCAGTTTGGTTTCAACAAAAAAGCTGTTTTCTCATTGAATTACTGTTGTTTTTCTTGAGGACTAGCCCCCGTTTCCAGCTGATCATCTAACACTAACATCTGCTTCTTCTACACAAGTATGACATGGTTTACAGCTCTGGTATATTTGATATTTAGACTGGTTATTTATTGGAGTGATTCTGAGTCTAAAGAGTTGTTCTGGGGAAGATCAGGTACATTTCTGATACATATTCATTATTGAAAGGAGGGAGGAATGTGTATTTCTTTCTCTGGAAGTTCTCCCATAGTAGTTTTGATTGTGGTGAATATTGTGTCCAGTTCTGGGCCCCTCAGTTCAAGAAGGACAGGGAGCTGCTGGAGAGAGTCCAGCGCAGGGCAACGAAGATGATTAAGGGAGTGGAGCATCTCCCTTATGAGGAAAGACTGAGGGAGCTGGGTCTCTATAGTTTAGAGAAGAGGAGACTGAGGGGTGACCTTATTAGTGTATATAAATATGTAAAGGGGGAGTGTCACGAGGATGGAGCCAGGCTCTACTGAGTGGCAAACAATGATAGGACAAGGGGTAATGGGTACAAACTGGAACACAAGAGGTTCCACTTAAACTTGAGAAGAAACTTCTTCTCAGTGAGGGTGACGGAACACTGGAACAGGCTGCCCAGGGAGGTTGTGGAGTCTCCTTCCCTGGAGACATTCAAAACTCGCCTGGACACATTCCTGTGTAACATTATCTAGGTGTTCCTGCTCCAGCAGGGGGGATTGGACTAGATGATCTTTTGAGGTCCCTTCCAATCTCTGGCATACTGTGTGTGTGTGATATCTGTGATGAGGAATAGTAAACTAAGTGTGCCAAAATATGGTATTTATAATACACAACTATAATTTTGCTCTAACATGCAACTGAATTGAAAGTTATCTAATAAAATCATCCATCGAGTTCTCATCTTCCCAAGTCCTGAACCAAAAAGTTGAATGCCAATTGGCCGTATGAAAATAAAGCTTCATTGGAAAGGAACGTTAATTGTACTGCAACAGAAATAAATTTAAACACGTTTTCTCAATTATATTTATTTGCACCTTAAAGAATAAATTATCTTCCTTGTAATTTGAAAAGCTTTGATTTAACTGAGGGAGAGAAAATAAATGCACAAAAGGCACCTTCTTGACAGTCTTGTCAATACCCGTTTGGAACTGACAACATGAGAAATTATGGTATCAACCTAAAAAATGAAAATCCTCAGGGCTCTGAAAACACGAGATGAAGACAATAACATCTGTATGCCAGAGCTGTGATATATGACTTGCCCAGCCGTTATAGAATAATCGGTGACTGCTGCACGCATGGCACTGTGTGCGTGCTTAAAACTATGTAGAAATTCAAGTTATAATGTGTTCAGCAGGAACAGAAAAGAATTGGTATCTGTTTATTAAACTGGTTCCTTAGCATATAAGCACACAGGTGGATATAAAAGAAGTCAGATTTAAGAGAAATCCGCAGCTAATTTTATCTTGCCTGACACTGTGAAGCACTAGATAATGTAATGGCTTTTTAGACATGTTCATCTTGTAGTTTAAAATGGCGCAAATGCAAAATTGTGCAAAGGAAGCTAGCTTAGTTTGATGGATTTAAGAAACAAATTTGAATGTAAAAGTAGAAGAAACTTTGCTATTAAAGAAATGAATAAATGTAACTCTGATGGGAGCATCCAGCTGAACTTTAAGTGCTCTGGCTTGAGGGATTTTAAGTGAAAACACAACATGGATCTGACTCTTTTGTTTTAAACCCAGGACTGTTGTTGGGTTTTCGTACAAGAGTACAGGCATACTCTGTGGTTCTATGTGGCAATGTTCTGTTTCACCAGGTCTCTGTGTTCACACAGATTGTGCAAAGTTTGTAGGTGAGAAACTCCTACAAAAGGAGAGTTTCTTGAAATAAGTTTTGGCTGACTCAATGAAGGTGGAGAAAAAAGGTTGTTCTCAAGTGTGGGTGATGCATCTTCAACTCAGACTGTGCTTCTGTCTGATCTCTATTCATTTTTTGTTTCTGACTCTAGGACTTCTGCTCATCTGCTTCTGATGACGAGGTTTCAGAAAGCTGAAGAGATCTTCCTTCATGTCCAGGCAATACAAAGTGAAGAATGCAATGCTGATTCAACAGGTTTCAAGTCCCTGCAGGTACAGTTGCTTCTTTCAGCAGTTTTGAAATCGGGATTCATGATACTCTGTGATCAAATCAGGATTACTGCTGTAGGCTTTTGGTGGGAATTAGAGAATGCTCTGTGAAGGGTAATGATTACGTTGCGATGCCTTTGTTCTTTGGCCTCTTCTGGAAGAAAGGGCAGGCCCAGGATTGGCCTGTCTTACAGGGATAGACCACAGATATCCCATGAAAACCCGAGGGAAGAAAACAATAGCAGGTTTGAGATGTTCTGGTCTGTAACGCAGCCACTGTGTGCATTGGGCGGTACTACCTCAACGTGCTTTTTATATTTTTCTCCTAGTCTCAGCAAGCTCCTTCATGAACCTGTCCATCCATGATACCTTGTAAATGAATGTAAGCAATGTGCTGAATTTGTTTGCTCTAGTTTCAAATGTCAAACAAATTAACTTGAATAAGGAACTCTTTCCTGAGTTCTCTCTTGCATTTGATATTAGTAATGAAGATGAGTGCAGTGCTTATGTGTCCTTTTCCAGGTCATGGAATGTATCAGGTATGTGAAGGACAGTGTGGGCAGTGAAATGCCCTAGTATCAACTGCAAGGTTTTGGTGATAGAGGGTATGTCAGTGCCAGCGGTAAGATCCTGGGTTGTTTTTCATTAGTTAACAAGAGTGACAGCAAAGTATGTGATGCACTGATTTTAGCTTGTTGTTTTCCCTGCATTTGTAGGTTCACAGTATGTTTGTGTGTGGTGTCTGGGGCCTGTTTTTCTCATTACCATATCCAGGTGGGCTGTGAGTGTTCTCTGATAAGCCCCTACATCTTGCATTTCTGTATCACCTTCTGTTCTTATGATGCATAAAATGGTTTGCCAATTAGAGAGGATTTTCCCCAGTGGAATCAAATGCAGATGCAGTGCTGAAATGTATCTGGGAGAAAGGAGTTACTTCATCTATTGTGATGGGAAGGGAAAGCAAAATACTAGGACACGGATTTCAGCCTTGAACTGCAACAGTTATTGTGCAGCTGCTGACAGAAAATAGAAAAAAAACAATTATGACACTTCATGAGATATTCTAATGGCTTTTCTAGGTAAAGGATGCAGTAAATAATAAAGATAATAAAAATAATGCTTAGGGATTAGAGCATTAATGAAGTGATTGTTCACAGTGAGGTGTTTTAATGAGTACGGTCCTTCATATGCTGAATTCTTCAGTAAGTGTTGTTCTGTAATTTGTACGTTACTGTGCTTGCACATCGTGTGGTCTCTGTAAAGTCACCATTAAAAATCAATCACTGCTGAACTTGGCCCTTTAAGTACATAAAAATAAAATTGGCAGCATTTGTCTCATGGCAACGGCTCTTGAGCACAGTGACAGATGATCCAGAGGTCTGAAGAGACTCCTCTGTGTCACAACACATAGAACATCCCTTGCGCACAAGCTTTTGTGTTTCAGTTATCTGAGGAAAGTGTTCCCCCTTCCAAAAATTGTGTAGACATGAATATTTCTTAAAGGTGTTGCTAATGAACCCAAACCACATCACGAACACTGGACTTGTCATTAGGCACTGACTTTGGGTCAGACGTTATCAGTGCTTTTGTCCTCCCCATATTTTGCCAGTATGAGACAGCAAAAGGACAGGGTTCAGTGTTAATAGAAGCATTTGTTACCATCTTACTGTAGTTATTCTGAACAACATGACATAAGAATAGTTACGACTGGTTTTGGTTTGCATTTGTTGCATTTTGCTGTCCTCTCTTCATTCTTACCCTTACATTTTTGCTCGTAAAGTAACATTTCCATTTCCTCATAATGCTTTGTTTATCTTGCTGTTTGTGCATGTTATGAAAGCCTGTTCTGAGCTTTGAAGAACAGACTTTGGTATGCTTTGATTTCTATTTTTTACATATTTTTTTACGCTATCTGATCTTTCTCAGCAAGCTCTTCAGTGTGCTTATCTTCGTGCTCACTGTGGGGAGTGAGAAGTTGCAGAGGAAAATATGCAAGCAGTGAAATGGACTGGAAATGGAAAACAACTATTTGGAGGTGCAGCTTGGGCACAGAACTTAGTGTTTGGGCGGAATGACTTCTTTGAGTAGCCCTGTACTTGCCTCTGAAGCCCATCTCAGGTTCCTCATCTAGAAAGAATGATATGTCATTTTCAGGGCATTTGGAAAATCAGCATAATTATCTAAATGCTAAATATTGTCACCTAACCAGTAGTCTGTAAGCTCAATTCCTGCTGGTCAGGCAGATTTAACAATTCTTGTGGCGCTGGATAGGGATTAGGCTTCTTTCTCGGTATCCCTGGAGGTAGTGATAGGCAATAGTGCACTGTTCTGGCTGTGCCTGCTGAGAATCTATCCAAAACGTTATAAGGGCTTCCATTACTGCAGTGTTGGACTTGTTGATGGCGTTGTTCTTATATGAACCCTCCCCTACTGTGCTAAGGTTTTATCTCATTTGTTTAGGTGTGAACAGGGACGTAAGCAGAGGCAGTGATTTGCCACAGGTTTCCACTACAGCCACTGGTGAAACAACCATCTTGCAAGCCCCAGGCTGTGGGGACGTTCCAGAAAGCTGATTACTACTTCTCTTGAATGACCATATTTCCTCTTGCTGTGCTGTCAGCTTCTCATTCTGCTTGCTTCCCATTATATATAACGCTGCAAATGTGGAATATGTTAAAAGATGGCTTCTCTTGTTGAGCCCTATTCCCATGAGTAATACTGACGGCTATTGAGGCAAGTCAGCCCTTTCAGTTCATTTGTTTGCATGGTATATACCCCGAGTTCTCTTTTTCCCCCTAGATTTTTCTTTCATCAAGGTTTCTTTTTCTAAAATATTAATCATATTTGATCTTTCCACAGCTTGTAGGTTAAAGCTAGAAGGAAAATTATGAATATTTTCATGAGTGAATGTCTTGAATTAATGTTCTCCTCATCATTTAACAGGGTAACAGAGGCTTATGTCAGTGTATTTATCTGTGTGATAACCCAGGTCCAGCACTTATTTTGTCTGCTGTGTTTCTAAATATCAATTGGAAAATGTATTCAAAGAGAACTTGATTTCCAGTGACTGTGCATAATAAATGGACATATGCTAAACATAATTACATATTTTAGTGCATTAAAATGCAAGAATGATTTGGATTATTTCAGCAAAGCTCAGTGAAGAGCTGTGGTAAGTATCTACGCCAATTACTCCAGATTTAATTGTACCATTAAAGGCATGGGTGTTCATATTGTAACAGTGTAATCTGGTTTTGGAAGAACTTGCACAAAGATAGCAAGTAATTGTAAGCTTTCCATAACCACAGTGTAGCAGCACTATGATATCCCTATTCTTGTGGGAAGTTAGAGCTTTCAAAAGGTAAATATAGAGGAAAGGGTTTCTTTGGTTTCCTGAATTAGGCAGGAAATAATGTAGGGCCTAAATAACAGCCTGAAAAACACTGTTCTAAATTGTTCAGTCCTTTTTTGCATGGATTGAACTGGGAAGACTGATGTTTGGAAATGACGCAGTTGGCAACTGCACTGAAGAGAACCTGGTGACTGTGAAGCCTCTGGGTGTGGGGTTTTCACAATGTAGAGAGGAATTTGAGCTTGAGGCTATGTGGGCTACAGAGAGCTTCAGTGTTAGCCTTCTGAAGAGAGATACTTTAAGCCAAATCCAAAAATATTTCAAAATGTCCTTTTCTATGTACATGGTACAAACCAAACAAAAGTAGTTCTGCATTTTAGTACTATGCCACTACACCATAAAATAAGCAAAAGGGGCTTTGTTTCTGCATTCTTTCTCCTCTTAAAAACCCATTCAAGGTCATGGTTTGAATGGAAAAGTAATTGGATTTGAGACACCATATGTTGTGGGATGCTTCTGACATCCCTAATGAATGTTACACGGTGCTGTTCTTCCACGGAAGTGTTGATATTAGCATTGGAATGACTGTTGACATGAAAACTTTCATTAAGAGAAAGATCTTGAAGTCAGTCTTGTCTGACTTTTCTTACTTTCATTTCATCATGATAAAATGCCCACTCCGAAATGCAAAGGGGTTGCTCCCCCTGCTAAGCCTGTCACAATCACTCACTAAACTTTACTACTTTTTCACAATACCTTCTGATTCACAGTGACAAATCCTAGCCTAGAAAAGCAACCAACTTCCATTGCTGGGTGTCTCTTGTTAGTCATTTCACAAGATTTATGGAGCTGCTTGCAGAGAACCTTATTCCTGTGCTCTGTTTTGTAAATCAAATAAAGGTAAATTCTCTTAAAAGAAAATATATCTTTAAGGCTGTAAAGTTTGGGGAAGTTTCTTTGCTTTGTGTTTGTATCTTTCAATTTTTTTTGGCTTTGAGAAGCATGAAAATGATATCAAATACATTCCCTTCTTCCTGTATGGTCTAACTTTGAAGAATCCTTTATGTAAGGAACCTTAATATCATTTTTCATAGGACATATTCTTCTCTTGAATGCCCCAAGCAACTGTCATTAACTTGTGAAAATTTATTATAAAACTGCAAGTAAAAGACAAATATGAGGAAAAAGAACCTGATGCTGTAATTCTGAGGTGTTAAAATTGAAGAAGTAATAAAACCATATAAAAAAACCGCAGCCATGCAAACAAATATAATAATAAAGCAAGCTGCTACAGCTTGAACAATATAACCTCATTCTTGCCTCCTAGATAGTTGTTTCCTTTCTCATCCATTTTACATGGGTAGCAAGATCAGTTCTTTCCAAATCTCAGTGCTGCACCAAGTCGATATAAATAGACCTCAAATAGGTTTGTTGTGGTTCAGTGCAGGCTCTCCAAACTTGAGCTAGGTCCTGGATTTCCCATGTCTTTTGTTTACATGGTTGTGAATGAAAATCATCCCTTGAAATTGAATATATGGTCTATAATATTGCAGAAACGCTTCTGTGCTGGAAAACAAACTTGGTATGTGCATATGAACACTATGACAGAGCTAAGGAGGGCCAAGCTACTTTGCTTGTCCCTAATACATGG